CTCAGTCCTTCTCCCCAGGGCAGCGCTGAGCAGCCGGTCCTTGTGCAGACCCCGAGATCGTCCCATTGCAGCAGCAAGAGACCTTCCCTCTTCACAGTCCCACCAGCATCCCACCGCTCAGATCTTTGAGGACTCCACGCGCTCGATCCACGGCGAGTCGGCTCCGACATCCCTGGGCTCTGACCGCAGCTGCCGCAGCTCCCGCTCCAGCGCCTCGCTCCCGTGGTCAATCTCCATCCCGCTGGTACCGCAGAACCTTCTCCTTCTCCTCCTGCCAGGTCTTCCTCTCCAGCTCAAAGTTCACCGCCTGCAGCTGGCCCTGGCGCCGCTCCCGCAGCAGCTCTGCCCACAGCCACTCCACCTGCCGCTCCAAGGGCTCCGCTGTCTCGCTGTGAAGGCCCCGGCACTTGGAGTCATCAGTTTCGCAGCCCGGGAAGTCCTGGCACACCGGCATGGGGTCATCGGCCAGCGGCAGCGAGGCGCCAGGCTCCGGGGGGCTCTGGAAGGAGTCTGCCAGTTGTGCCAGCTGGGAGTCCCTGGCCTGGACCTCTGCCTTGGCCTCCCGCAGCTGCGTCTTCAGGCTGAAGATCTCACCCAGCTTCTGAGCCATCTCCTCCTGGGTGTCCCGGAGCTGCTGCTTCAGCAGGGAGATCTCTGCTGCCTTCTGGCACACCTGCAGGGCACAGGCGAGCCATGAGAAAGGGTTGGAGGAGCAGGACCCCAGGGGTGGCAGCACCCCCAAGTTGTCACCACAGCATCCCTGGGAGACCATGAGCATCACACCTGGTTCGTCTCCCTGGTCCTGTAGCCACAAGTGACATCAGAGCAGGGAACCGCTGCCCTGGTCCTGGCTCCAAGGCCAGGAGGGTGGCAACAGGGAGGGGAGGCAGGGGACTCACCTCCCACTTGGTCTCCTCCAGCTTGGGGCTGATGCGCTCGCCCTGCAGCTGCCGGAGCTTGGGCTCCTCGCACTGGCACTGCTGCATGCTCAGCTCCTCCTGCAGCCGCTTCTTCTCCTGCTGCGCCGCGGCTGCAGCGCCCGCTGCCCGCGCTGCGCCTGCTGCGTCACCTGCTGCAGCCGGGCCATGTACATCTGCTTCAGATCCTCCAGCTCGTCCAGCCACAGCCGCTGCTTGTCCTCAAACACCTGCCAGCACAGGTGGACACTGGTGAGGGTCCATGGCCTGCCCCTGCACAGGGCAGCCCCGGGGAGGGATCCCGGAAGGTCCCATGATGATGGGTCCTCCTGCGCTTGGACATTCCCAGGCCATCGCCCACCACAGCAGGACATCAGCTCCTTCACAGCTCTCTCCACCCAGGCACCGTGGCCCCACACCCCTGCCCAGGGCACCCAGCACACAGCCAGCCCCACGGCTCACCTGCGTGAAGGGGTCTTCGGTCTCGCTAAGGCTCCTCTTGAGCTGCCGCAGCTCTCCTCCCGTCTCCTGCAGCCGGTCCTCCAGCTGCTTCACCGCGTCCTCCAGCGAGTAGGTGGACTCGTAGGGCGGCGGG